TGTCTTACTTAGTGATATATCGCAACTGACTACATAATCCACGAAACAAGGTTACGAATGGAATATTAGGCATTTTCAATATGCTGAATCAATGAATAAAATAATCAGTGAGTATACAACATGAAATCATGCATTTAAAATATTATTTTCATCACACTTCCCTTATATCCATGAATCAAGGTTACATAAGTGTATATTTGTGTGTAATGTCAATACCTTCTTGCGTAGTATGTAATAATAAAATAACTGTAATTACTGTTCTTTACATGCAAAGAACTTTCAGTTTTCTTAATATATTGAAAAAACGTAAATTTGGTATGGGCAAATGTACTGAGTCTTCTAAAGCGTGCACACAATTACCAAAGTCTACACTGTTTCTAAAACTAGTACAGAAAAGATGTGTGCTGATCTCAAGCTGTTTACAGCAATATCATCCTACTCTGTATACAAGAAGAGCACTAAATATATTTAAGTGAAGGTAACAAGTATATCAGCTAGCTGTTCACTATTTGCTGCAGAAAACTGTCATCATTTATGCTTACAAACCGGTCTTCGCTGTGGGAAAAGAAAAACTTTCTAAAAACGCATAGCCCTTTGAATCTTGCATGTGCATGCCCGAGCCATGAAGTGGCGAGGTCTTAAAGGGTCCGGGATATAGTCCCACGTAAAATATTGAAATTTCCTTGCATTTCAGAGCATCTCATCATCATTCACAAGTCAATTCAGCTGAGAGAAACTTTATTTTATTTTGTTGTTTCCTTGGGGAAAATACGTTTTCGGTTACCTGTTGTGTTTCACATGTCCACAAGTTATCGTCATTATTTTGAAGAAGGATCAATTTAACTTTCACCCATTCAACGAGTTTACAGTTTCAAAAGAATTTTGTGAGTTGTGGATCACAACACGTGACTCAAAAATCTCCAAACTGCGAATAACTATATAAGGTATGAATTCATCGGTCTAGGTCAAAAGCCCCTTTTGGCACACAAGCCCCTCGACCAAAAGCCCCTCAGGACAAAAGCTGCTCGAAAAATGACCAAAGTCCCCTCACCTTATGTATAAATGGGAAATAAGACTAAAGACAAGAAATGATTAATGACATGAAACATTTTATTCCTTCAAAATATAATGACCCAAAATACTATATAAACAAGAGTCATCAGAAGATGACATATCCCCCCGGCCCCCACATCTTTGAAAGAACAAATCATCTGACAGTTACTTAAAGACCAGCTTGATTTTAGACTAAGTGCAAATCGTTTCCATGGAAATCATAAAACAAATAAATGACAAAAATCTGCAAATAGCAAAAGGCACCACTTCAAGATCTGACTCACATATCTGCCAAGTTTTGCTGAAAGATAGAGAAGTTTTCGAGTTGTGCTCAGGAAACGAAGCCCACCCCTCCTTTTGGGACTAAGTCCGAATCGTTTCCATGGAAACCGGGGAAAATATAAATGCCAAAAATCTGCAAATAGCAAAAGGCACCACTTAAGGTTCTGTCTGATATATCTACCAAGTTTTGTTGAAATATATTGAACGGTTCTTGAGTTATACTCTTGAAACGAAGCCCACCCTCCCTTTTGGGATTAAGTCTGAATCGTTTCCATGAAAATCGGGAAAAATAAATATGCCAAAATTCTGCCAAATAGCAAAAGGCACCACTTTGGCATCTGCCTCACATATCTGCCAAGTTTTGCTGAAAGATATTAGGAAGTTTTCGCGTTGTGCTCCGGAAACGAAACCCACCCTCCCTTTTGGGATTAAGTCCGAATCATTTCCACGGAAACCAAGAAAATAATAAATCACAAATATCTGCAAATAGCAAAAGGCACCACTTTGGCATCTGCCTCACATATCTGCCAAGTTTTGCTGAAAGATATTGAGAAGTTTTCGAGTTGTGCTCCGGAAACGAAGCCCACCCCTCACTTTTGGGACTAAGTCCGAATTGTTTCCATGGAAACCGGGAAAAATAAAAATGCCAAAAATCTGCAAATAGCAAAAGGCACAACTTTAGGATCTGTTTGATATATCTACCAAGTTTTGTTGAAAAATATTATACGGTTTTTGAGTTATGCTCCGGAAACGATAGCAATCCTTACTTTTTGAGACTAAGTCCAAAATGTTTCCATGGAAACCAGGAAAAATAAAAATGCCAAAAATCTGCAAATAGCAAAAGGCACAACTTTAGGATCTGTTTGATATATCTACCAAGTTTTGTTGAAAAATATTGAACGGTCTTTGAGTTAAGCTCTGGAAACAAAATGATTACAGACGGACGGACGGACAGACGGACGAGGCGACGACTATATCCCACCGCATTACATGCCGGTGGGACAATATATATGTAATTAGCAAATAATTTGAGTGAATAAGAAATAAATATCATCAAACAAATCAACAAGAAATGATTAATAACATGAAAACATGAAAAATTCTATGACATAATAATTGAACAAATCAACACAACCTAATGGTTTTGGCCTATGGCGGAAAGAAAGTCCTCAGTAGAATGGATAGCGTTCTGTTTTTCAAAGCACAGCTTTTTTAGGCGGTGCTGTGTCTCTGCAGATTTTCCAAGTAAGAAATATCACATTTTCTCCATTTCCTTTACATTGGTATAATAAAATACTTAAAATACTTTAATAAAATATATAAGAACAATGAGAAAAGTTCAGTATACTTTAAAAAATATATAATATTTTTTCCTACTTAAAATACAGTATAAATTATATAAGAGCCAGGAGAAATGTTCATTCTTTTATGAAATACATGCATTTTCGCAGCCTGCCTGAAATATGAAACCCTAAATGAACCATTTCCCCATTCCAAGGCTTGTTTCTATGGAAACCCACCTCCTCTGACCACCTGACTGACACAAGGGGAAATTCAAATCTGGATTTAAAAATGAGCAATATATTTTCAAATTGTATGTTTTGTAGACTCTCTGCATCCATACATTTTGAAGTGAGTCTTCACAACATACTTCTTTATACTATGACTTAATATCAGCCTGAACCGGTAAGTCAATTTTGTGATATTTCATGGAATGTACTTGAATACTACATTGCTTTGCATCTAATGACAGCTTTGACAAGGCAAGGAGGCCACACCCCATCTTTAAGCAAGTGAACCCCCACCTTTAAGCAAGTGATGTACCTTACTGAAGGTAAAGAATTTATGATCAAAGTTATGTTTCGAAGTTTAAGCACAGGCTGGTAATGCTGACTGATGTACAACGAGTGATGGGTGTTTACACAATAAGAATAAATGTTTACATAATGGGAGGGAGCCAACAATGTGATAAAAAATGTGAATAATGGGATTAAGATTGCTTAGTGATGAGTTGATGGACTGTAGGGCGGATGTAATCACTGGGGTATACCTGTGATTACCATGTGTAATTGTCTTGTATACAGCACTGGAAATAGCAATCAGCTGTGCTGTGCACACATTCCCCTACTGGTGATTTACTTAAAACGTACCTGATAATATAATGAGATGAATTCTGATGCAGTGATCTTTAAAATATTGTATCTGAAACTATTACTGTATATAGAGAAATATATTCTAGTATTATGTCATTTTAATTGCAGGTTGTGCTCTATAAATGTAAAATATTTATAATCATAACTAAGGTTATGCGACAGCTATTTGGTGTATTGCCAGATAGTTTTTGTGCATGGAACAATTTGACATGTCACCGATGAGGTTTCGTGCATTCTCGCTATTTCCACTGTGAAAGCAGTTTGTTGACAAGTGATCGTCCAGCTACACTAATTATTACTTTTGGCGATACAAAATATGTATGCGTATCCATTAACTGTCAACACCACAACATTTCAAGACGTGAGTCCACACAATATGTTAGTGATTGACTTATTGTTAGGCAATATGGCCGCCGTATATATGGTCGCCGGAAGCAGAAATAAGTACAACAAGTGTTTGCCACTCATATGGCAATATTCCCCTGCAGCTAAAGAAGAATGAAATATTTATAACATTTTTACTACTTTATATTTTTGGGTCACATACAAGAAATGACTGGTGTCTGCATAATCACCCAATGTAGGCTGTCCACATAATTGAAGACATTGGGTGCAATGTTTTATAAGAGAACACGTTTGCATAAGTTTGAAAAGTGGTAAAAGTGTCGTGGTGACCTTGCAGATAAGGTCAAGGTCACCAAAATCGACTGGTGTCTGTATAATCCCCCAATGTAGGCTGTCACCAAATTTGAAGACATTGGCAACAACAGTTCATGAGAAATCGCATTAACAAGAATTGGGACGTATGTACAGACGCTGCTGAATACATAGTCCCCCGTTCCGCGTTGCGGCGGGGGACAATTAGCTAATCCGTTACCGATAATTGATGCTCGGAGTCTGAGACTGAAGCATCAGATTAAAGAATCAACAACTGATGTGTTTATATAGTATACAAGATTGGTTACAGCTTGAGTCTGCTCGGATTATCTGGGACCGGACTAATGCGGCCTGACTGTATTAAATTAGAACCTAAACTTGTACAGTCACTTGTGAAAAATACAAAAGAATACAAAAGTATTGTATGTCATTGCAGGACTCTTCAGTACAGTGTCCTCCCGTTTTGTTAGACCAGCCACTTGGCTGTCCAAGCTGATAGATCAACTTGCTACATAGGTTAGCATGGTCGTTATTGGATAAATAGGTTGCTGTCTTATCAACTTAAATTATTTTACGTTCAACCAACTTTTGAATTTTGTGTTTATCAGTGGAACATCATAGCAAGCCATACTATTACCAGGCCAAAAGAGAAATGCTGCTACAAAAGAATAAGCACAGAGCTGTTAAGATAGAATGTACTGGGTTTTGCTTTATATTCTAGGACCATATACATTGTGTTACAAGCCCCATGATCTATGCTAAAAGCCTTTTAAGGATTTCCTTTCTGGTGAAAAAAAATCCTAGATATTATTTATTACATTGCAAAGAGCTCTGAGAGAAGCTAAGAAATTTCACCTTCAACAAGTCCCCAGGGATACTGCCGACCTCGGACCCTCTTGCCTCCAGCCTCAATAACACGGTTACTGCCAACCACTGCAAATGGTACTCGATCCTGGAAAAAAACCACCAAAACTGCATTACTTGCATAGCTCTTTTGTTGAAACATACATTTCTAACCATGGACTGAATTTGAATATTGCCATAGCATAGTCATGACAGGAAATAGATATTTCCATTTTTCACATGGTATGTGGATGTATTTCAAAATGACACAATAAATATGCATTTGTCGTTGCCATTTGATCCAATTTTACCAAATTGTCTTTAAAGCTTGTGATGGGTTTTGGGGTAGCCCATTGGGTAAAGCATCCACTTACTGTGATGCCGGGATGAGAATGGGTAAGAGTGAAAAAAGAGGAAAATGAGCCAGGGGTGTTGGGGGCCATAGGCCCCCATGCCAGATCCAATGACCCCAGCAATCAAATCCGTGGTAAATTCTCATCCCCAGGCCTCAAAGTAAACATTTTTTCCAAGGAGCATGCACTCTCCTAACCTTTTTTTCTTAAGAGCCAAACAGAATTTCAAGGAGCATGGAAAATTTACAGGGAGCAAAGAAAGAACAAAGATTGCCCAATCACAACAAAAAACAAACAAATCTTCAGAAATAAGATGAGTGTTAATTCAAGACATGATGATGATAATCCATGATAGATTGCTTGTTTATTAAATAATCATACTCTAAATAGGGTCTTAACTTAATTTTGTTTGTTTACTCAGTATCTCCTGGTTGACTAACTTAACATACTACAGAAATCTGAAAGGTTGCAGAAAGTATTATTTTTATTCAGTGAATTTATACTTAGTTTATCTCAATAATTATTTTAAATAAAAATGTATTAATTTTCCTCTCAGAAAAATATGGGTATGAGTTCACATTAACTCTTTCAACACCAGTCTACCAGAAACTTTTACTGCCATGACATCAAATTCCGAGAGACTCTGAGGTCATAGATGAAGCCAATATTTATCAAGGAAAATATCAGCTTGTAAAACATTATTGCAACAACATGTCATACACCATTTGAAAGGTCTAATCCTATTGTTCATAAATATGACAGTTTTATCATATTGTTCAAATAATACCAGTACAACTTAAATATGTCAATTTTTAATGAAAGTGCAATCTTACACATTTATAACATCCAGATAAACCACAAAGCAAGCAAAAACTGCGGCCTTTTTTCCATTTGTAACATGTCTGTAACATATGGTATCCCCTTAAATTTGTCTTTTATATTTTGATTTTGACATAATCAGAAAATTATTATAAACACGTTCCTTAAATAATATGGATGGTCGTCTATTTCCCGATGACAATGGCTTTCCACTCGGTAACATGGCACAACAACCTCCGTTTTTGAAGGTTTAATGAATAACAGGCGAGGCGATTCGTTTGATGGCAGGTATCGTTTGAGAGCTCTTAACATCAATAATATCACTGTAACCATGCCAGGAGTATTTTCGCAGTTGTAAGAAACGATTTCATTGTATAAATATTGGTTTTTCCACCACAGTCTGCTATAAGGATCTTCACTGGTCAAAACTCATGCGTGTGACCTAAGGCAGCAAATATAATGGATACCGTCCTCGTAAATGAAAACTTAATTTTTTTGGACTATGTCCAAATTGTTTCCATAGAAATTAAGAAATTTGCAAATAGCAAAAGGCACCACTTCAAGATCTGTTTGATATATCTATCATGGAATAATAATTCATACAAAATTCATTATTCATTATTACCACTACGAGCAATATATTAGGATTCAGATATTAGGAAAATATAAACATAGAATATTAGTAATAGCTTAGAGAAAGACTCCAGTCAAAAGTTGTAAAACTTATCTCACAGACATACTATTGAAAAAGGTATAAATAAGGCTACACAATTTCACAGATTTCAAGATAAAATCCTAGCCTAAGGTATTGAGGACTCAAGCTGTTAGAACCCTTTCAGTAATTCAGAGTTATGACCAGACGATTAAATGAACTACTTTCATAAAGTAAACATATCATCATCTATATTACAAAACTTTAAACAAATACCAATTAAGGTCCAGAGTAAACGCATCTATTGTAATCCAAGCACCTATGATTGACACATCAGATTAGGGTCGTTAAGATCTAGCCCAGGGTAAGCATCCAAGCATCCAGTAAAAGTGCCAACAAGATAAGTGCCAGTTAAAATAGGATTAACAAGATTAAGAGTAATTGCCCTGTCTTGTCATTAGTAGGACACACCCCATTTTGTATATTCCTTATTTGATAGGCTAATGTAGGTTACTCCCATTTTTGTATCAGTGAACCAATCGTAATCTCTTTATTGTTTTAATTGTAGATAAAAAGTCTCTAACTGCATTTGTCCATCAGTAGGGTTTAGACTCCCAACACAGGTCAGCTCTAGCCCTCAGCCCAGAGGGTTGTACCGACTCTCTGTGGCCACCCCATGTTATTCCGTTCTTGTAAATAAAATTGTGATTAGCTTCTTGTGACTTCGGACTCATTGCTGAGTTAATTCCCCCAAGCAGTCCAGCACGTCAGTTAGATAAGGGATTTCACCGGAACCATCACTTGGACCCAAGACCCTTATCATAATATGTGGCGGAGAATCAACGATTTTCGGAACCTCGGAGCCCAGGAACTAACTACAACCAGCTACAAGAACACATGGAATAACAAGCGACTGCATCCACCTCTGATCTCAGCACTGGATTAAGAACCACCAACTCCTGTAAAGACACCAACCAAGGAAGAAAAAGTCTTCAAAAATTGTAAGTACTACTTTACATTGTTGATTTCTTGTCTTTTCTTAATTATAGTACGGTACATACTATAAGGTGTCATGGCCAATATGGAGTCTGGTATGGAAAGTAACTTTGGAAGTGAAATTCCAACTGTGTCCTTAGCTACACCCCTTGCCAAAAGTGTAATTCAGGTAACATTTGGCACTGAAACAACAACTTGTTTAATAGATACAAGGGCATCCATTTGCTGCATTTGTCTGCTTTTCTAAACAAAGCTTTCAACAACCCTGTACTTGGAAACTCACCCTTTCCACAAATTCAAGGTGTTGGCGGTGAATTGCACAAGGTGTTGGGTTCAGTTGTGTTAGATTTTGTCATTGAAGATCAAGAATTTTCACAAAAATTCTATCTCCTGCCCTCATTACCTAAGTCAGTCCTACTAGGTGAGAACTTCCTCAATGACAACGATGCAGTTTTAGATTATAGCTGCCACTCCCTCATAATAGGCAACAGCACCTCAGATAGGAAATACATCAACTTCATCATCACTTCAGATCAAGAAAGGACAAGGTATGATAAAGGCCCTTATTTGCCCACAAAATTTCATGATATTCAAAGTTCTACATCATGATAATTTTAGCATAAAAAATGCTAAATGAATTGTTGAAATTTCCTCCATATGTTTTTTTATATGTTTTAGTGCTGTTTTTTCCCTCTTTGAAGACCTCAAAGTTAACCTATTTTACAATATCTTCGAAAAAACTGCATTTCCATATTTTCAGAGTGATAAGAAAGTGTGAGCAAAAGCTTGACCCATCCTAATTTTTTCACCACACATGAAGAGAGTAAATTAGAATGCACTCCTAAAAATTTGTGGTGGGTCACGCTTTTGCTCATATCAAAATGTTTAAAAAAGTACATTTTTTCTGTTGCATGAAATTGCCCCATACAACATCTCAAAAATAAACACTGGCGTAAAGTAATATCTCTGAAAACTATCCGTCACATTTACACAACTATACCATGATTCATTACTATTTTGAATGTTTTTGAGCACTAAAATGAAGTTATCAAACATGTTTATTAAAAAAATTCAATATCGTAAGGGACTCTCAAGGCTGATTACTTTGAGGTAAACAAGGGTAGTTTTTTGGAGAGCCTGTTGATCACTGCTGGAAAAATAAGAAGACATCGGAAGATTTTTCAAAATATGATCGGGCAGCATTCTAAAGGTGAGAATCTTTGTAATTATGCTAGAATTTTATCATATTTGTTCTATCATCTGTTTAGCAAACCCCTCTGTGTCCACAGGCCCCCACTCTTGGTCAGAAAATCGATAAACTAGGCCTCGGTTTAGTATCAGCACCCCTACTATATAATACATATAGTAGGGGGTGTTGATACTAAACCGGAGCCTAGTTTATCGATATAGTAGGGGGTGTTGATACTAAACCGGGGCCTAGTTTATCGATTTTCTGACCAGCAGTGGGGGCCTGTGTCTGTGTCACCTGTCACTGTCAAATAACACTGGCATTCCACTGGATGTAACAGTGTATAAACATACACATTTTAACAACAATAATGTACCTTGATGTTTTCTAGGATATATCAGGCTACATTTAATATTGTTAGAATAAGCACAGTGTATCAAGGTCTAGCAGATTATGAAAAGCAAGCAGACGTCAAGTGACACATTGTTGCAAAGTGTATATATAAGCGTAAAGTGACAAATAATAACAGTAGAGTCTGTAGCCTAGTGGTTACAATGATGGCTTTTCAATTTTTTCTGTTATCAGACATTCAGGTTCAAATCCTGATTGTTTTTTTCTTTTCTTCTTTTTTTTTTCTTCAAAAGTTAAGGTAAACATTGTAAATTGGCTGACAAAACTTGTGCGCATGAAATACAAATTTTGTAAAAAATATTTCTTAAGTTTGGTAATGTAAGTTACACTGTTCAAACAAACTTGAATTAACATCATGTAAATCTTGTTTAAGCCTGAAGACACTGACTTTTCCACTTTGTTCCCACACAATAAAGAACCTGTAGAAGGTAAGCATTGTTTCAAAATGTTAGTATGGTAATTTCTTTAAGTAAATATTTACAAACTGTCCAGAGCTTTTAATTAGTGGTGCGCTGATCAAACAAATAATTAGTTTATGGATATTTTGTGGGCTGCCAGTCAATTACCCATAACCAAATCACATAATCAATTAAAGCGTTCACTATTTCTTCTTAAAAATATGTTTACAGAATCAGTGACTATTGGTTTCAATTGTCATATTGAAACTGAGGACTGATTACCATTGTTTT